TAGATATGTTGTAGAGCATCAAAAAATATTAGACCCACATTTTTTTTAGCTGCATATGTCGACGTTCAGGGGTTGAAACAACTCGAAAATAACAGATATTTTTATTATTAACAAATATCTTCGAAAATATAAAATATATGAATAAAGCGTTTTATACAAAAGTTAACAGTTTTATGATATTTTATACTCTTTGCAATGATATACTCACATTTTTCAAAAATGTCAAATTTTTTAATTTATTCCCATCTTCACCTATTATTTTTGTAAAATTTAAAAATTTTGTAAGGACAAAAATTAAAGAGCATTGAATGCCAAATCCATCCATGTATATTAATATTGTGGTTTTATTATTTGATTTTTGAGAAAACGAGATGATAACATCGTGCTATAGGCGCCTCGCTGTTAAGATAAGTATTGCATTATTTTTTTTTAGTCGCGCTGTATTCAATAACTTTTGTGTAACTGCCTTTTGTGCATATTTTCTCATACTACAATATAAAAACAGATTAATCCTAATATGCTGTTTTGCGAATAGATATAAAATTATTTATTTGTATTGCGCCAAATGTAGCCAATATATATAAGCGTCCGTAATACCGGAAAGCTGGAATTTTACCTGGTAAGATGATGTAAAGAACTGTACGTTGTACATTCATTTTGTAAATATATAAGTAATTGTTGTTAAGTTTTATTACTTTCATACGCTTGTCACTCTTTGGTTTGATATTATTGGAATTACAAAAGTTTTTTGAATTATTAGTAATATAACTTTCATTCTTAGTTGGGAAAATTATATTTTTACTAATTACCGTTGGATAACATCTTTGTCCTGGATCATCTGGTCCAATAAGGAGGGAAAGAAAGAAAAATTGTATGCCTATTCGTAGACCTAAAAGTGGCATTTGACAAGATAGAAAGAGAGCAATTATGGAAGACCTTGAAAGAGAAAGAAATAGATAAAGAACTTATAAGGAGAATAGAAGCAATATATGATGTGACTGAAGTTGCAATAAGAACAAAAGAGGGCCTGACAAGAAAATTCAGGATAACAAAGGAGTCAGACAGGGTTGTGTAATAAGTCCACTCCTATTTAATTTGTATATAGCGGACATTAGAAAAGAGCTAGAGGAAAGAAAGATAGGAGGCGTAAAGTTAGGAAACAATATAGAGTATGGTCGCTAGAATATGCGGGCCGCGTTTATAAAAATTGCGCCCAAGGACTTGTGATCTTCGAGCGCCCCGATCTAGCTCCCTCCTTCGCCAAATGAACAAACAGCATATAATTAAATAACATTTTTAATATTTATTAAACTTTTAAAACATTTAAGAACAGATGAATAATTAAAAAATAGAACATTTTGTTATAAATGTACTTTTCGACTTTTTTTCTCTGCAAATATTTGTATTATATTATCGAAGTTTATTTTAGCTGAAAACTCCGATTCAATATTTAAAATAGAAAGGTTGTTTAGCTTTTCTTGACCTAATGTTGACCTAAAAGCATTTTTTACTCTCTTCAATGCCGAAAATGATCGTTCACCGCTACTGTTTGTTAAGGCTAGGCAAAGATATATTCTTATTGCCACTTCGATATTTGGAAAAGTGGCTTGAATTTTATTTTCCTGTATTAATTTTAAATAAGATACTGGAAGTGGAATATTGGAAGGAAATTCTTCATTCTGGATAAAATATCTAAATTGAATGATTTCTTCAATAAACTCGTCCTCTAGATCGCAATTATACATTTTTACTAAATTTTTCGCGCAAACTCTTAGTTGATCATTTCCAAATTCAGAATAAAGTTGTAGCTTACTTAGAAATCCAAATGTTTCCGAATAATATTTATAGCTTGCCGCTCTTTTTCTAGATAAGGTTGTCCAAAATTGGAAATTTGGACATGGAAATGGAAATAAACTTTGCATCTCTGGCATCGAAAACAGTCTCAGCTTCTGCACCTTCATCAAAGTGGCGCTTTCTTTTACGATTAATTTTAGAATTGTACTCCTCACAGCCAGACTTTTCTTTGCCTCTTTTTTCAAAATCCAGAAAGTATTCCGTTGTTCTAAGATTTAAGAGATAATCTTTTAAAGAATTATACAATTTTACCACAGTTTCCAAATCAATATTAATATTTTGCAAACTTTTATTTGTAGCGTTGAATTTTTGCAAAATATCATTCCAAATTTTACAAATAATCGCAATTTCAAGGTTATTCAATGAGTTAATAAAAAATTGTGCTTCTATTCTAGTTGTTTGCTTTTGACTGCTGTCAATTCTAAGCTCTTCTAAAGCATTTCGAAAACAATTGTATCCTAGAGACAAAGCTTTTATAGCGTCCGCTCTGGCTGACCAACAAGTCTCACTTAGTCTTTTTGGTACTAGATTAGAGTCCGATGTCAATAAGTGTTTTCTCATAATCTCCCATCTAGCTGGTGATCCAGAAAAAAATATACATATACTTTGCACAAATAAAAAAAACCTGGTGGCTTCTGGACAACAATCAGCTCCGCAGTTTCCAACTAGATTTAAGGAATGCGCCGCGCACGGGAAATTAAAAGCCAATTTGTTTTTCTTTGCAAGCCATGCCTGCAATCCATTATAACATCCAGATATATTTGCAGCGTTGTCGTATGATTGACCTCTGCAGTTTTGAAAATCAATATTTAAATCTTCTAAAGTTTTCAAAACTGCGACACCCATTTGCTCTCCTTTGTGTCCAACGATTTGTAAAAATACTAGAAAACGCTCTACAGGACAACTATTGGCAAAAACATATCGAATAACAATAGTTAATTGGTCAACATTTTCGATATCTGGCGTTGAGTCGACAATTATAGAAAAATATTTCGCATTTTTTAATTCGTGAACAATAGATTTTCTAACGTGTTCTCCTAAGATCTCGATAAATTCATCGCAGATTGTATTCGATAGATATGAAACGTGTCCTTTCTTTTTGTTTCCATGCTATGCAATATGGACCTTTAAAAAATCGTCGTATTCCGCCAATAGCTCCAAAGTTTCAAGAAAATTTCCATTGCGAGAATTAAAAAATTGCTCATTACTACCACGGAAAGCCAATCCACGTGAAGCTAAAAATCTTATCACAGATAAAATTCTTTTTAACACCATACACCAATTAATAATTTTTTTCTTTGACCAATTGTATTTTAAGAGCTGTATCTATACGCCCTTCAATTTTAGATCTTGTCAAGAACAATCCAGCCGATTTTTGATGAGAGAAAGATATCTCGTGTTGAGCAATTCTCTCTTCATGTTTCCAATCTTTAAATCCTTTGCAGAAGCTTTTTTCTTTATCACCAAAAAGCTTGCAATATATACAAAATATTTTCCCGCTTGTTCGAGAATATATCATCCAATCTCGTTTTCGAACTTCCATATTTTTTAATTTTCGAAAAAACATACTTTTTCTTGCATATCTATTTTGAGTAGCTCCAACGATAAGCGAGGTTGAAAAATCTAATGCATCTATGTCTTGATTTGGCTGATTTTTTAATATATAAGTAATGAATGCGTGGCCTTTCTTCCATGTTTCCGGATCTTCAATGTCAATTTCATTATCATTGATTTTAATTTCTTCAAATATCTTTAATGTATCAGATGTCGTGATATCAATATTCAAAACTTTAGATTCGTTTTTAATCTCGTTTTGTCCTGTCAATTCCTCCACACTCACGCTATTAAAAATAAAAGAAATATTTCAGTTTTCGAGAGTTACCAGAAAATATATTGATCATATAATTTAATGTATAATAGTGTGAATTTCATAAAATAACAAGTCGATTTATTGATCTATAGATAGATTAATTGGATATCATATAACAGAAATATAAAATAAATACGGACGCTTTATAAATCCTAAAGAACGGCCAGACAATACATTCACTAAATGCGAGCGTCTGATTACTCAAGAATTTAAAAACACGAGTATTGTACGATAAAAATTAAAGAGTAACTCACTTTTCAACATCATTATTTGAATTTTCGGTTTCAGACACATGTTTTTGTGTTGGCACAAAGAAATTCTTTAATTTTGGAACTTTATCAAGCATTTCTTGTTCCTTTTTAGACTTTTCAGCATTTAATTTTCTTTTTGCACTACCACTCAATTTTTTGTTAAACATTTCGTATTAGTTATCGATTAAAATTACTTTGAGGTATACCAAATGTTA